AAAATCAAACTATTTTCATATAATTTTGCTAACCGTAGAATACAGAGTATAAAGGAAATAAATTGATATTTTAAAAGTATCAGAGAACACATACACTCACAAAAATAATTAGAACATATGCCTACTTGGAGGACAGTAGTTCCTGGTTCCACCATGACAGACTGACCATCAACAAACACTTCAATCAAGTTGTTTGCTGCTGTGGCAGTTGTTCGAGCTGACAATGAAAACAGTGAAGTGAAAAACAAATTAATAGAGTTGGGTTTATTATAGCAAAGGTTAATAGATAACTGTATGTAAAATTTTCTTCATCTTATACTGTCCCTCTTTCTCTAGATGCAAGCTTTTGAAATACTGAATTAGAAAGCTTTTTCAATCCTGAATATCAAATAGAACATGGTTGTCAACTTTTAACAGTAGTTTAAACTGAGACTTTTAGTGCCACTTGCCAAAAACAAAATGACCATGGTTTTGCATTTTGGCATTGATGTCCCTACCACTTTCTACTATATCATAATTTCTACAAACTACTTGAGGTAGAGTTTTATTTTGAAAATTACCCTGACAATTTAAGTTAATTTGCTTCTACTTTTATTTAAAACAAATTATGGATTCAGGGCTTTTGAAGATATTTTACATAGATAAAAAAGTCTAACATTCATTAATGTAAAAAAACAAACTCACCACATCCTTTAGGAGACTTGGAAAGGCCCATTAAGGCCCTTCTAACTGGTATCCTTAGCATGATGCTAAAAATAAAACAAGGAAGAGTAATATTATTGTAGGCGGAAAAAAACCTCACCTTACAAACGTTTTGGTAGTTTTATGCTTTTAAAATACTCTAAATTCATTGTCATTAAACATTCACATGTTTTGATATTTTCCTTCCAATTCTCCAGATGAGAAAACTCATTCTCAGGGTCATTAACTTTGTCAATGTCAAGCAGCTAAGAAAGAGGAGCTAGTGTATAAATGTGGGCTTTCTGATGCAATCTAAAGGGCAATTTTGTTTTTTTATGACCACAAAGGAATGATAAAACTTAAAACACAATGTAGTAAAATAAACGGCAAGTATGCTCATCACTAATAGCTATGTAAAATAAAGCCTACCTTCTATGTCCATTTCCTATCAATATGTACTCTACTACTGTGTATGCTCTAAGAACAGTTATCTCCTAAGTGCTCTGGAGAAGTTCTGAGATGGCTTATTAGCCAAAAGGCTTTGATGTGTCTTGAGGGTCATTTTCTGTGCTGGGCAGTATGTTATCTTACAGATTTGCAATTATCTGCTTATATGCTTGTTCTACCCTAACTATATTATGAACTTCCTGAATCTTTTTTTAAAAAATTTTTTGTGTGGTACTGGCATTTGAACTCAGGGTCTACACATTGAGCCACTCCACCAGCCTGTTTTTGTGAAGGGTATTTTCCACATAGGGTCTTAAGAACTATTTCCTCGGGCTGGCTTCGAACCTCAATCCTCCTAATCTCTGCTTCCTGAGTAGCTAGGATTATAGGCATTAGCCTCCAGTGCCTGGCAATCTTTCTGTCTTAAAACCTTTTCCCAAGGCTAGTACATAATAAGCTTTAAAACAGTGGCTGTCAGCTAGGACCAGGGACAATTTTGTTCCTTAGGGAATAATTGGCAGTGTCTGGAAACATTCTTGTCACAAGTGGAAAGAAGGTACTGGCATTTAGTGGGTAAAGAGAAGGATGTTGCTAACCATCCTGCAATTAACAGGACGGTTCTCTCAAGTAAGAATTATTCAATGTGTCAACAGTGATAAAGTTTAGGGCTGATCTGCACTCAAGAGTATGGGACAGGAAGGCTGCAAGTTTGAGGTTGACTGGGCTACAGAGAGAGATACTGTCTCAGAACAAAACAAAAAAACTAAAGGTTTATTGATTTACTAAAATAAATGGGAGTGGACTGCATAAACATTACTACCTAAATAAAGTCACATATAGGCAAACAGAAAGAAGTAACGTGAACTTTTCTGGGATTTTTTTGTGTGTACTCACTTGATCATATGAGTTAAGCACTGAATGTTTTGTTTACCACTTGATCATATGGCCTAAGCAGCTAAAACTGTGACTTCATTTGGGACTTTTAAGGGTATTAAAAATGAAAATTATGTGATTAGAATGTATTAACATAAAGTTTCAATAAAAAGTTCCAATAGTTGCAGCAGTACTATAATATAGTGCATATACATAAACTTTTAAGCACAAAATTCTGCAAAGTTATCATAGATGATGCATAATAAGGAATTTCATTAATTCAGACATCATTAATTTCAATAATTCCTCAGTTACATTAATTCACAGGTTCCGATACTGTATTCATAGACATCGAGTCTGTTACCTACTAGTGAATATTTTTGGTAAATCAGTTTCTGGTTCTCTACCTGTAAAGAAGAAAGAAAATAATACTTCCTAGGCTGTGTGTTATTACTAGGAGCTCAATGTTATGTAGTGGCCACAGACAATCAGTTCTAAAGTGCTCTTTTTTGGTGCTCCTTATCTACCAGCACCCACTGAGTAATTACCTTGATTGTTCCATTCACTAAACTGCAGGTTTGGACTGGGGATGTAGCTCTGTGGTAGACTGCTTGCCTAGCATGCACAGGGCTCTGGGTTGTATCCCCAACATAGAACAACACAACAAGAAACTGCAGATTAGTAATTAATTTTAGTAATTTGGTCATTTTTCTTTTTTTCAGTAACAACCACAGTGCCCTTACAAAAAACAGTCACCAAATGGTCTTATCACCAAGTTGCAGAATGAGTAGTGTCTGTCCTTTTAAAAACTACTGATGGAGCTAGGCATAGTGGCATGATGGCAAATGCCTGTAATCCTTACAGTCTGGAAGCTGAGGCAGGAGGATTGAGTTTGAGGTCAGGTCACCAGTTTCACTGGTGTACATAGTGAAACCCTGTTTCATAAAAGAAACTACAATCTGTTGATGTCATATAAAAGTAAATCTGAATTTGCCCAGAGTACTAACAGATTCTACGTCAACAATTGATGGGCTGAGGATGTAGCTCAGTGGTAGAGTACCAGCATGTGTAAGGCCTGGGTTCAATTCCCAGCATAATAAATAAACAAACCAGCCAGAACTAGGCTATTTATAGAACATCCAGCATCAAAAGGAACACTGCACAGCTCCAACATGAGAAATTAATTGATAACACTTTGACAAGTGCTTTAAATATGTCTACCGGGTAGGAATAGAAATAATTACAGTCGTTCCTTCAGAGGCCTAAACAAACTAGAGTATGTGACAAGATGAACGTGATTTAAGGTGAACAATGCTCAAAGAACTGGTAGAGAGAGACTGGGGGAGGAGGGCTAGCAGGATGCAGGCCTACATATCATTTCACCCTTGTGTATTAAGCTTAGTGCTGGACATGAAGCAGATTCAAGTTTTGCTGTTTTGGAATATTTTTGATCCAGAGTCAATATTATTGACTCTGAGGATGTGGAACCTGCAGATATGGAGGACAACTGTTTCTTTATTAGATGGAAAAATGTGGACGACCAATCACTTCTAAAACTAGCCTTGACAATTTGCCACATCAGGACTTTTTAACTACACTTTTTCCACTATGTAACCTGCATCCACTCACTTCTCTCCCTCCAAGGTACCACTTTGGGGTAGACTCTACCGGATTCCAAGTCACCATCATCTCTTTCCAGAGTATTCTAATAGCCTCTTACCAGTTTCCTGGCTTCCACTTTTTACACCAGCCCTTCTCCCAGTGGCCCTTCCCTCTTTCTGGGCCCTCCCCATTCTTTACATCTTGGCTAAAAGGCTTTTTCTCATGTTTTCCTTACCAGCCTACCTTAACGTTTTCTGACTACTCCCTAGTCATATCACCCATTTTATTCTTCCTTACAGACTTAGTTCTGTAAGGAAGAACTAACTAACACATTCAATAACTACTTGCTAAATGATTTATATTTCCGATCTCTTAGGTAATTTATAAAAGCCATCTTCCTGACATTAAAAGGTGCAGGTGCTCTGGCTGCCTTCTAACACTACTTAATGATGAAGAACTCAATGAAAAAAAGGAACTTGATGTTTATTCACCGGAAACAATTCACGCCACATTTTCTATACTCCGAAGTCCTGTGTAATCATAGTGTGTTTGATCCAAGGTCTTACAGCACATGCCTTTGCAAGATCTCAAGAGCCTGCAAACAGTGCAGCTGTGTGGATCTCAGTACGACCCTGGGCTAACTTTCCCAAAGTTCTTTTTGTCATGTGCCCTTCAGTGACAGCGCTACCCAAGGTGGGCAACAGACAAGAGAAAGAACAACCAGGTGTGGACGGCACAGCAACTAAACAAGGATGTAGGCTCGCGAACAGCAGGTGGAAATGTGGGGAAACGCTCGGAGTTTAGGCCTCAGTCGCTGTGACACGGGTCCTCGCTGGGGGTAAAGCCTCGTCCTCCTGCAGGGGACGACCGCATTTTTCCGAGGAGGGAAGGAAGGGCGCCCGCAAGCCTGCACTCGCGAGGGCTTCCTGACCCTCCTGCTTTCTGCTCCTTCTGGCCAGAAACCGAGGATTACAGCCCTCACCTACAGGCTCTCCCGCGTTCCTGAGGCGGCGAGCGGGAGGCGGTGCCCAGTCAAGGACAAGAGGAGAAAGAGTCGCGCGGGCCAAAAACACAGTGGCGTCAAGAAATAAACCCTGGCCAAGGCACCTCAGCCTTCCCACCTACACACGACCTCACCTTGTCCCCGGAGGGGCCGAGGCTGCTCTGCCGGCGCGTTGGGATCACACTGACCCCCTCAGAAACCCGGTCGTTTATCCAATATGGCGGCCTCGGCTAACTCCGTCAGCGGGTCCTGGACAACGGAAAGCCAAGAGGGACCAGAAACCCCAGATTCGACAATTTCCGGCTTGAGGTGACTTCGGCGATTTCCGTCAGCCCGACAGGGGGCGGGGAGAAGGCGGGAAGAGGCGGGAACTAGGGCTTGGACCTGCAGTTCCGCCGGAAGTGACTGAGCCTCGGAGGCCGAGTCTTTCGGTCATCTCCGGCCCTTCAAGGGGCGGTTCCCTTAATTTTCGGAATTTGCGGAGGTAGGAATTTAAGAAATGTTCCTTCATTAATTTATTTCCAAATACATGTAAAGTCCCGAGGGCAATTTGTGAGCCACTTAGTTCAGAACTCTTGAGTTTTTATGTAGAAGAATGAGACTAGTAGCGTACTTTGACCTTTAACCTTCAGCCGGTGCAGCGGAGGGAAACGCCTCCGTCTCTATATAAGGAATTTTCCGGGCGCTTTGGCCTCTTTTTTCCCTCTCTTAGCTCTAGGCGCAGGCTTGTGGCGCTCTTTCCCTTTGCTTTTTCCCAGCTCCCGGATCCAGCCGAAGCAATGGGTTTCGGAGACCTGAAAAGCCCCGCCGGCCTCCAGGTGCTCAATGATTACCTGGCGGATAAGAGCTACATCGAGGGGTGAGTGGCCTGGGCGGCGAGGAAGCTCCTGCGGCCGGGGCCACGTGGCGCAGCCGCCGCTGGCGCGGGAGGGAGGAGGCCGAGCTGCGAGGGTTGGAGCGGTGAAGTATGCATGGTTTCCACCTGCTGGGTTCAGCCAGGTCTTTCCGCGTCTTTGCCCGGTTAGTAAATGTTAACTTAGTTACCTTGGAGATTGCAGTCTTTTTTTTTTTTTTTCTTTCTGTGGCACTGGGGTTTGAACTCAGAGCCTCACACATTGCTATGCAGGCGCTCTACCTGTTGAGCCATTCTGCGAGCCTAAGATGGCAAATTTGAGACGTCCGAAGTGGAGGGCATTCCTTGAGATAGCCCCGCACCCCAAACAAATGGTCTCTAATCTTCAGCAGCTTCTAGTGAAGAACTATTATAGCAGCTTAGGTAGCTCGGTGATGAACAGACGAGTTCCCACTAATTAGTTTGGTGAATATAGGGTTTGTCATTTATTTGATGGCATTTGTGTCTTTATTTCAAGGGTGTGTGTAATTTTTTTTTTTCTTTTAATCACGGCAGGTATGTGCCATCACAAGCAGATGTGGCAGTATTTGAAGCAGTCTCTGGCCCACCACCTGCTGACTTGTGTCATGCTCTGCGTTGGTATAATCATATAAAGTCTTATGAAAAGGAAAAGGCCAGGTAAATGTATCTTTGAAAATACCTGAAGAATAAGAGTGCTTTCTAAGCTAAATCAAGATTTTCACACGACAAAATTGGATTCAGGCAACTTTAGCTTTGTTGGGATATTGTAAATTTCTTTGTGACTTTAGAAGGCCAAGAGACTGAAGTCCTCCATTTTTTCACAGAACAGGTAGAACATGGACAACAGCAGTTCATCTTTTCCCCTGACCTGGGGGGGCCACCGCTGGGGTGAGAGGGTGGCTCAGTCATTCAGTCCTTGGCCATTCTTCTGAAACTGTCAACAAGGGTGGATGTTTGGGGAAGTGGACTGCAGTTCACTAAGAATGGAACTGAGCATACTTAATGAGATCTCAAACAGAGATGTTGATACTGAAAGAGTAAATCATAGTGAGTATTGAATGTAACATCTCACATGGTACTAATGTTTGTTGGGTAAGGAGTTGGACATAATAGACTTGTTTACCTGGGATTGTGTTAAAAGGGTAAATAACTACTACAAAAGGGATCTAGGATAGTGATGAAAACAAGTGCTCTAGTATTATACACCAACCTAAATACTGGTCATATTTAATTTGTTTTTGCAAGCCTGCCAGGTGTGAAGAAATCTTTGGGCAAGTATGGCCCTGTCAATGTGGGAGACACCACAGGAAGTGGAGCTGCAGATAGCAAAGATGACGACGACATTGATCTCTTTGGGTCTGATGATGAGGAGGTATGAATTTTGGTAAATTGACATAGTGTATAAGCATAGATGCTATAGCCAAATTACTGGGATTTGAATCCTGGCTTCACTCAATTGTCTTCCTTTAAAAAATTCTCACTGGTTATATGATGAATAAAATCAAATCACCATCTTTCGGCTGAGCTCGTGATGGATTTGCTTTTTTCTGACAAAGCTGGTCATTTTTGTGATGACCCCATCACCAATTTCAAGCAGAGGGACAATGACAGCTTTGTGAAATATGTTAAAAATTTTTCCATACAGGAAAGCGAAGAAGCAAAGAAGCTAAGGGAAGAACGCCTTGCACAGTATGAGTCAAAGAAAGCCAAAAGTAAGTCCTTTTGTAATTAGTGTTTGTTTCCTCTTCATTTGTTTCAATGCTCCACCCCAAAGTAATATCCATGTTCACTGAATGGATCAGTAGTTTGAAAACTGTCCATGAAGGTTCTTCCGTATAAAATTTCCACAGCTACTGGTCTGCAGCTGTTCTTAATGGTAGCAGTTGTGGCATTCCTCTGTGGGAAAAGAAACTGTCATACAATTAAAAGCCTCTTTCTTAACTAAATGGAAAGTGGGCATGTGAATGACAGACACAAGATATATTCTGAAGTTTGGTTTGGCTGAGGAGATGATATATTTCAAAATGAGTTGATTTGGACTAGGTGAAAAAATACATACAAATGACTAATGCTGTTTCTTACTCTTCTAGAACCTGCACTTGTTGCCAAGTCTTCCATCTTACTAGATGTGAAACCCTGGGATGATGAGACAGATATGGCAAAACTAGAGGAGTGCGTCAGAAGCATTCAAGCAGATGGCTTAGTCTGGGGATCTTGTGAGTTTAGCCTTTGCATTTTGAAATTGGAATTTGTAATTTGCTCATTAACAAACTTTTCTAACATTTTTTGTTGTTGCTGCTCTTTTTAGCTAAGCTGGTTCCAGTGGGGTATGGAATTAAAAAACTTCAAATACAGTGTGTAGTTGAAGATGATAAAGTTGGAACAGATATGCTGGAGGAACAGATCACTGCTTTTGAGGACTATGTGCAGTCCATGGACGTGGCTGCTTTTAACAAGATCTAAAATCTATCCTGAAATAAAAGCTTGAAAGATGATTCTTGGGGTTTTTTTCTTTTTTTTTTTGTGGGACTGGGGTTTGAACTCAGGGTTTCTGAGCTTGCAGAGCACACATAATGCTTGAACCACACCTCCAGTTCATTTTGTTCTAGTTATTTTGCCTTGACTGGCCTTGAACCCTGATCTTAACCTAAATAGCTAGGATTGCATGCCTGAGCCACTGGTATCCCAGCTGACTCTTGGTTCTAGAGTCTTAAATCAGGGATGCTGTATATATTTCTTTTTGTTCAGAGGAAAGGAATTGAGTGGCTATATAATTGATTTGACATTCTTTGCTATTTTGTTTTTGGTGTAATGGGGTTTGAACTCAGGGAAGTACTCTACCACTTGAGCCAATCAGCAGTTGTGAGGTTCTGTCCTCATTAGTGATGCCTTCAGCAATTTGGGATTAGTTGACTAAAAAATTAACAGACCTCACTTAAAGATTATGTTAAGTGTTTGGAAATACCAGATATGCAACAGTGCCCAAGAACACCTAGCCCAGAGGGAAATCAGGGATGGCTTCCCAGAATTTGTATGAATTATAACTACTTAATAAACATTGCCGATTTTAAATAATGTCTTATGCTGTAAAGGAAGAAGTTTTTATGGGTTTTTTTTTTTTTGGTGCTACTGGGGATTGAACTCAGCCCTTAGACAGGTGCTCTATCACTTGAGCCACTCCATCAGCCCTTTATTGTAGAGTATTTTTGAGATAGGGGTTCTCTTTTGTTGCCTGGCCTGGCTTTGAATGAACAACAGCCCTCCAGATACCTGCCTTCCCCAAGGAGCTAGGATTCCAGACTTGGGAGACATTGCTACACTGCCTGAAGAACTTGTTAGTTGTTGGGAATGTGATCTGGAGTTAGCACCATGTTCTAGGAGGCACATACATGTAACTTTTCCAGGCTTTCCTTGAAACTTCACTTTGTAGTAAAGGAACATGTGCTTAGGTGTGGGTTATTTCAGTTGGATTTGGAAATCTGAACTTGGTGCTGCAGTTAAAAAATACTGGGACAGGTTAGGATGATAAGTCAAATACTGGCAACAGCTACTTTTGTTTTTTGGTGGTGCTGGGCCTTGTACTGCCACATAAGCACTCTACCACTGACAATATCCCCAGCCCTCACGCTGCATCTCAATAATCTGAGGTATGAGTAACTTGATATATATGTGTATGTGTGTATTTTTGACAGTAATGTTTACAGATGGAGTTTGAGAATGTAAAGGTTTCCTTGTTTAAATGATTTGGATCAATTTTTACATTCAATCAGACAATGATCAGTGGTTTTATGTTGTGATTACCTTAAGTCTGGAAAACTTTACGTAAGGATTTGCTTAATCAGATGCATATACCATTGAATAAAACCTTCACTAAGCAATATTTTTAGTCCAACAGACCTTACCTAAAAGGGGAATTTTCATGAGAGCCAGCAGAGGGCAGCACTTTGTTTTCTGGAGAACCAGAGAGCTTGGGATACTGAAAATGACAAAATACTGCAGGGATCACTGGTGTAAAGGTATACTTTATTAGTCTTTACTGGTGTCTGTATAAACAGGAACACAAGGTAGAAATACATCTGTTGTCCATGCATTCTCTATGAAATACTGAGATTGGGCCAGCCTGTTCACCATCTATAATCATACATACCCAGAATTTTCCAAAAATGCACTTAATTGTATAGAGGACTAAAGATGGACACAAGTTTCTTGACTTGCCATCAAGAGGTGGGGTTCTATGTCCTTTCCCCTTGAACCTGAGCTGGCCTAGGCCTGCTTTGGCCAATAGAGTGGGATGGATGTAATACTGTGCCATTCAAGCCTTTTAGAGGATTAGAAATGTCCACCTTGATCTCTGAGCCACACTGAAGGGCCATTTTGGAATAAATTCATGGGAAGGAGGACAGGGCAGGAGCTGCTCAGCCAGCCCCCCAGCTACTCCAAGTCTCAGCTGTTTGTATCCTCATATTCCCGTGAGGCTCCTGACAGGGAAACAGAGAGAAACTTCCTTTCTGTGTCCTCAGAATTGTGACATTACTAACTTACTGTTTTGAGCAACTAAGTTTTGGGGCAGCTTACTAAGCATCAATTAACGAATTGAAGTTATAAACTTAGTATAAACCAGCTATTTAATTCATAAAGGTATATAGCGATGTCATTTATTGAGTATACATGCATTTTAAGAAAATAACAGGTTACTTCTGCAAAATTAAAATGAATTTAAGCAAATACATTTTAACACAAAGTTATGTATGTACATATACCCATATATATACATATATACATACATATATGTGGGTTTGTTTTGGTTTTTTTTTTTTTTTTTGGACAGTATTGGGGTTTGGACTCAGGACCTTATATTTACAGGGCAGGCACTCTACCATCTGATCCACACCCCTAGCCTGTTTTTGCCTTTAGTTATTTTTTCTGATAGGGTCTCTAGTTTTTGCCCAGGTTGGCCTTGAACCATGATTCTCCTGTCTATGCCTCCCACAAAGTTGGAATTATAGGTGTGAACTATTGTGACTGGCTCTAGTTATATATTTATATTAAGATTTTTAAAAAGTTAAGATTAACCAGGTATGGTGGCATGTGTTTGTACTCCCAGCAGTCGGGAGGCTGAGGCAGGGGGATCGCTATTTCAAGGCCAGTTGGGCTACATAACAAGACCTTGTCTCAAAAACAAAACCCTGCTATTGCTTCAACAGTGATGATTGATCTGCTGTGGTAAACTTTGTGTTATAAAAGAGGATTTGTTTGGACTCAAGTGGTACAGTGCCTGCTTTGCAAGCATGAAGCCCAGAGTTCAAACCCCACAGGGGGAAGCAAAGGATTTGTTCGATCAAGTTCATATTTTGCTGAATAAAATCTTTGCTTAGCAGTATTCAGTATGACAGACCCACCCTAAACTTATGGAAGAAATGTGCAGGTTGTCAGTGTCAAGAAAGCCAGTAGAGGGCAGTAAGAATGACACAGAGTATTTAACCTGCCAGGGAGAAAAATGTGCAGCTCATTCCACACAAAAATGTGAGGCCAATAAGTTGACCAAAAATAAAGAGTATGGTCAGTTCCAAATCTTAGAACCAAATTTAAATCTGGAAACATTTGTCAGGGGACTCACACGAAAAACCTTACACAGATTCTTGGAAGAGTAATACTCACTGAGCTGTTTCCAGGAGAGACAGATTTTTGGTTTCAGAGTTTCTGAGCTGTTCACTGACTGTGCCAGAACAGCTTACTTCACACAGTGTATGCTTTAGTATCTCAGCAACAGAGGCCCTGAAGCGAGCTTGGAACTTTTTACTAATTAGGACATAAAGGATGGGGTTCAAGCAACTATTAAGGAATGCCAAACCAGTAGAGAGGGGGAGTCCGGCCTGCAGCACCGGGAGAAAGTAGCTACTATGGTGAATGGTGAGCTCCCAAATGCTAAACAGGTGATAAGGAGTCCAGCAAATCAAAAAGGCCATGACCACAACCAGGATTGTCCAGAAATGCTTACTGGAAATCAGTATGCTTCTCTTATTCACCTTGAAGATGAGACACAGGTAGCAAATACTCATCGTTAGCAAAGGGAAGAGGTAGCCGATGATAAATTTCACCCAGGTCAGAACATGGTGCCTCATCAAAGTGAGGTCAGGATCATGCTCGTGGAAATTGTTATAGCAAAGAGTGTGGTTATTGAGCTCCAGAGTGTCCCGGAAGTATAGGGCAGGACCACCAATTAGAGAAGCTAAAAGCCAGACAAATAAAACAACAACCAGGGAGTTCCTCAGAGTTCGATACCGATGAGACAAGACAGGATGGATCAAGTGGATATAGCGGTCCAGGCTGATCACTGTCAGGAAGAAAACACTAGAAAACATGTTCAACTGGGCAATGAAGGAATTGGCCTTGCACAACCAAATGCCAAAGGGCCAGTGGAAATTCATGGCCACATAGGAGATGTACAGGGGCAGGAAGAGAACAAAAATGAAATCCGCAATGGCCAGATTGAGGAACCAGACAGTGGTAACTGTCTTCTTCCACTTAAATCCTGTGAACCAAATGACAATGGCATTTCCTGGAATTCCCAGAACAAACGCTAAGCCACATAACACCAGGGAGACCCAGTGAACAACACCTAGGTAGACTTTCTCCTCCAAATCAGATTCCAGGGAATAATATTCCAGGGGATAGGAGTAGTTCTCAAATTCTTCATACAACGTTTCCTTTAGATCTTCCATGACTTGGTAGGTAGAGAAAGATGAGATCTATAGAAGCAAATTTAAAAGGAAAGAAAAAAATTTTGAAGAATTAAAGTTTAATGAATGATAAGGAACATAAAGAGTTAAAAAAACATTTCATCTTATGAACCAGATACGGTATATATTTTTTGGTAGGACTTGTGATTATCCTAATGATGTTGAAAAGGCAGGCCTCAATGTCACTGATTACTCTCAAAGCTATGAAAGTTCATTTGTGTATTCACTAATTGTAAAGTTAAAATGATTGACTCTGCTGGTGTAAATCCTCTGTTCATAATGCATGTATAGCTGACTTTCAACAAGCATTTATTAGGTTCATACTATACATTATTTTATAGCAGATGAAAAAAAAAAAGATTGATACTAACACAGTCATGAGTTCCAAATCTGTATAATCTGTATTTGTACCCCTGACTTCTTAAGTGCTAGGCAGAGAGCTTCAACTGTTTTCTAGATCCATCCATCTGGATGTTATAGGTAAGCACTAATGATTTTGACCCACTATTTTACATTCAAGAATGTTTTGATTCTATTTTTGAATGGAGGTATGTTAATAAAAATTATATCAATGTGGATGACTTTTGATGTAAATTTAATTATGACTAATTTCTATGACTTTTTTTATTTTTTGCAATACTGGGGCTTGAACTTAGGGCCTTGTACTTGCTAGACAGGCACTCTACCACTTGACCCACTCTGCCAGCCCTTTTTTGCATTGGGTATTTTCTAGATAGATAGATAGTGAACTATTTGCCCAGGTTGGTTTCCAATCTCTGCCTCCTGAGATTTATAGGCATGAGCCACCAGGGGGCGCCTGACTGGATTCTTTTCTATAATAATTATGACAAAGATTGTTAGTTTTAGGGTTTTTTTTTTTTTTTTTTTTTTTTTTGGTCCATACCAAATTTTATTATTATTATTTCTACAAAAATGCTTTCTTTTTGCTCATCCCCATTTTTTGTCTTACCAAGGCAAATTTTCCTGGATTAAGAAGATTTCAATGTCAATTTTTTAATCAAAACAAAGTTTAATGGATGCAATCCAGCTTCTTCAATTCTGTTTTATGTTATTTCTATCTGTAATATTTAATCAAGTGAAAAAGATTAATAGCTATATTCACTTCATGGAGCTACAATGATAAGTGGGCAAATAAGTAATAAGATTTGGGATTATGGTGAAGTTGGAATGAAGAAGTCAAAACACACTGCGTTGCTCACAGGCATTCGGACTCAACTATCTCTGGGTTCGTTATCTCACCTAAAATCTTTTGAGGAATCTGGCAGTGCATAACTAAGAATGAAAGCAATTTAATAGCTTCCTCCCTGACCCATCCAACTTCTTTTCATTTTCCAATATTCAACTAAAAATGCCACCTCTTCTTGGAACCATTTTTTGGTATTACTATCCTGCAGATCGTTGTATTAGTTAAAATTTGTGTAAGTAATAATATTATTGGGAATTTACTATCCACCATGCATATATGATCTCATTTGGTCCTCATAAGAATCTTAAACAAGAGGTAAGTATTACTGTCATCTCAATTATAAGAAAAGATCCTGAAGCTCAGAGAAGGATAGTGACCGGCCCAAGGTCATACAAGCTGCAATTGTAATCTAAACTCAGATCTGTTGGACCCAGAGCCCCTCGTCTGTCATACTTCCCTTATAGCACTTAATACACTACATTGTCATTGATTTGTTTTTAATTTTTCCCTACCAGACTGTTAACTTTGTTGGGGCTACTGTGTTTCATCTCTGCACCCCACAGCACCTCGTATAAGTCTTAATATATCAGAGGTGATTAGTACATGCTTCACAATGATTGGCTCTGCTATGAATCCTGTTTAAAACCAAAGATAATTGTATTGTTTTGTTTGAAGTACTGAGGTTTGAACTCAGGACCTCAAGCTTGGTAGGCAGGCACTCTACCACTTGAGCCACTCCACTAGCCCAGAACCAAAGATAATTGTAAAGCTTCAGGAGAGAGTTTGTGAGTTGACCCAAGTCAATGTTGCTGCCAGAATCTCTGTAACCTCACCCCACAGTTCTATCCCCAGGGTCTTTGTGACTCTTTCACATCAAATCCTTTCCTTCATATGTCCTGCTTACTCCAGCAAGCAAGAATTGGCTGGTGGTTTTTGTTGCTGTTGTTTTGTTAGGTTTGCTTGTTTTCTTTTTTCTTTCATTTTTGAGACAAGGTCTTGGCATGTAACCCAAACTGGCCTCAAATTTGCAATCCTTCTGCCTCAGCAACCAAATACTGGGGATTATTGGCGTGTACCACCACACCCAGCTGCATTCTCTTTGCTGCTTGTTCTTTCAGGTCTGGGATCTCACACAACTCTCTTATTCCTTTCAGTAGCTGTTCCTCTCCAGTATTAAATCTTTTCCAGCTTAGTCTCATACTTTCCTGTTTTGGCTCTCTGTTGGCATACTAAAACACCCTTATCCTCCTTGTTCCTAAGGACTTGTTCTTTTAGGCTATTAGCAGTTGTGCAGTCAAATTGGCCAAGTTGTCTGAATCACCTTACAAAACCCTAAACTGTGAGTAGAAGGAAACTCATTCCCAAACAAAGAAAAGTCCATGGAAAACCCTCTATAACCTAATAACTCCCTTTGCCAAAAGTCAGGAGCTTCCTTGCAGCGTCATTACTGTCCCTGCTGGGAGAGTGTGAACATAATAGCATCTGTCCAAGGATACCAACCACCCCTTCTGATTCTCTTGGGGTATGGTAGGGGGAGTACCTTGAGGATGAGTAACCTTTCTGAACAGAATTCCCCAAACAGAATCCAGAGAGGTTCCTATTCTAGAAAGCAGATGAATAGATTTGAATGCAGGACCCATTCAGGGTTGGAGAAAAAGCTTCAAAGAGGACAAGAATTCTTCAGGAAAAATACAAGATAGAAACGCTCCTATGACTTGGAGCAGATGTTTTTGTGTGGTAGTGAATAAGAAAAGAGAAGGCAGAATTCAGCAACTAGCCTACAAATCCATGAGCAGTCACGGTTAACCTTTGAGGGCATATTCTTATTTAATCACTGTACCGTTTGTATATTGCTTTATGCTGCCAGGTTCCTCCAAATCTAATTAAGTTTCCAAACCTTGCTTAGAGTTACCCAAATATCTAGAGATTATCTGTTTCCTAGGTAACAAAGCACCGTAAAATATGCGACCTTGTGGCATAAAATAACAGAACCATTGTCTGACAGTCTGGAGGTTAGAAGTATGAAGGTAAGGTAGCTTCATCCTGAGGGCTGTAAGGGAGAATCTGTTTCATGCCTCTTGCCAGGCTTCTTGTGGTTCCATGGCAGGTTGACATTTCTTCCCTTGCACATGCGTCTCCTAGTCTATGCCTTCATCTTCACATGACACTCTTCATGTGTGATGATATTGTCTCTGGGTCCAAATTTCCCCCTTTTAGGAGATTAAAATTTCAACATACTCTTTGGAGAGAGGGAGAGTCACCATCCAACTCATCACACTAACCCAGAGATGACCACCATTTCTGATTTTTTTCTCTTTTGTTGTTTTTTTTTCTTTATTCATTTATTCATATGTGCATACATTGTTTGTGCCATTTCTTCCCCTTGCCCCCTGCCCCCTCCCTCTTGTTGTTTTTTGAGACAGATCACTAGGCTGGCTGTAAACTCCAGATCTCCTGAGTGCTGGGATTATAGGTACATACCACCACACCCAGTAAAATTTCTGAATTCTGGCTTTTTTTTGTGTGTGTGTGGTATTAGGGTTTTTAACTCAGGGCCTCATACTTGTTAGCAGGCACTCCACCACTTGAGCCTCTCCAGTAGTACCATTTCTGAATTCTAATCACTCATTCATTTCAGCAAGTATTTAGTAAGTGCCTACAGGTGTCTGGCACTATTATGGCTGATTGGGATTCTTCACTAAGTAAGACAACTATTTCTTCTCAGATTTTAGATTCTAACAGAGATAAGAAAAAATCAACATAATAAAATAGTAAATTACATTGTGTTAAAAAGTGGCAAGTGCTGTGAAAAATGAAAAAAAATAGATAAAGGGAACAGGAAATAGAGGACTGTTGAGAAGTGCAAAGGCTTGAAGAGCATTCCACACAGAAGGTAAAGCTAGTACAAAGGCCCTACAGCAGCCTCCCCCTCCTCCTCCTCCTCCTCCTCCTCCTTCTCTTCCTCCTCCTCCTCCCTCCCCCTCTTCCTCCTTCTACTCCAGAAACAGGAAGGACATCTGTCAGTACATCTAGAGTAGGGCAAAAAAGTTAACAAGGAGAAAAAATAGAAGCAAAAAACTGCAGTGGATAAGTCCTTGACTTTCCCAAGTTTCCACTAGAGTTATTGAGGAAGACCCTGACTGGTAAGCAACAAAAATAATGAATCAGCACCTGGGGCCTCAGGTATTTTCTGCAGCTGTGACAAAGCTCCTGGACTTTCAGATGAAACAATAAGCCCCCTGGTACATGACCCTTATCCTACTTCCTGCCATCCTGCTTAGAAGACTGACCCTGCCTCATCATTGCTATATTTTTCACAGCTGGATTCTTGCCTGTAAACCGTGCTCTTCCCTAAACTTGAACTCAATCATGTTCCTAGTTTAAAGTATAACTTGGCAGACATCCTGACCCATGGTCCCGTTTTGTTCTTTAACTTGGGTAAATGGTTACCCAAGGGGACTAGTTGATGCTAGTCCTTTTCCTGGGCTCTGGTTTTGGACTGCTATACTGTTGGTCCTTTCCAGTCCTCTGGAGAATTATGTCTCTGTTAGCACATTTCTGTGACTCTGCTAGTTTGCTATCTCCCAGGCTCCATACTCCTGTGTTCCTACCCTGGTTAGACTAGTCACATACTGCACCATGAGACATTACTTTGATGCCAATTCTCATCCCTTATCATCCCCAAATTCTACAGCATTCGTTCTCAATCAAGAGAAACTTTGCTTCTCGGGATATTTGACAATGTCTAGAGACTAGGGTTTGAACTCCAGGCTTTGTGCTTGCTAGGCAAGTGCTC